GAGATGAGGCTTACCAGCCTCTAGTTCCCTGGAATCTCCTCCTCCTTGCCCATCTTGAGGATAGGAGTGACATTTGCTTTCTTCCAGTCCTTGGGAGCCTCCTCTGATCAACATTAACTTTTAAGGATAATCACATGCAGCCTTGCAATGACATTGGCCATAGGAGCATCCCATCAGGTCTCATGTGCCTGTGTCCATCCAGTTTTTTTAAATGTTTCCTAATCTGATCCTCCTTCACTGAGGACAAGTTTTCTTTGCTTCAGGCTTTCTTTCTGGTCTCTTGGGGTCAGGGACTGCTTAAGGCTGGACTTAGCAGTGAAGACCAAGGTGAAGAAGACATTGAGTATCCTGGCTTTTTCCATGCCCTTTGTCACCACATCCCCTGTCCCTTTCAGCAGCAGGCCCCCATTTTTGCCCAGTCCTTCTGTACCTATAGAAGCCTTTCCTACTTCTCTTCACCTCCTTCATCAGATTCAACTCCAAGCGGGCTTCAGCTTTCCTTGTTCTACCATGATGTCACCTCCATCAGTCTGCCCTCTAATCCTGGCCCATAAGATCTTGACTGACACTTTGCCCATCCTTACGCAGGGCTCCATGCATTCCCATTGCTCTGACACGCAATAGAGACTTTGCCTCCTCGCCAGGCCAGCCTGTCCTTCTTAAGCATGTCCTACCCCACCATGGGTCCATGATCCCCATGAGATCGTAGCCCTTTAACTGCACAAAGTTCCTCCTTTTATATCGTATGTTTTAGTGTACCGGTACTTCAGAGAGGCACCCAAGAGAGACCATTTCCCAACCATCTGCCAGCTATTTGCTTTATTATGCACTTAGAAGAGAATAATTTCTATGACAGTATTGTATTTTTCATTTTGAATGACTTGGGTTTTACTAGAAAGTAGACAAGTTTGTTTATGTATCTCTAACAAAGTTAGTTAAAGCAGTCTCCAGTATAACCTACTGAAAGTTAAGTATCACTTCTGCTTTCTTCAGGAACAACAATGATTTTCCACAACATGCACAGCGTGTCAGTTTCTAAGAATAAGTACCTTCATTGTCCAAACAATTACAATATCCTGTGCAACGCTATAGTACCTGCTGAAATGCCATGCTCCACCCTGTAATATGTATGCTCTGTCCTGTAATACTTCAGAAACCATCTGCACCACTGTTATATATTATTGTTATTACATTATGCCATAACTATGCTAGAACATTACCCTTACTACAAGAATTCCTAGAGGTCCCTTAAATCAAAAAGCATATTTTCACTGGACAGTGCACTAAGCTCAGCACATTACACATAGAGTCAGCATAATATATCACTGGAGTAAGTTTAATAAGAAAACACAAAATCACTATAAATTGGAATAAAATTTATAAATAAACAGAAATGCACAGTTAGGTAAACTCGAAGTTATGTGGTTTTGGGGTTGGGTGGTTGGTTTTGGTCTTTTTTCCTTAAATTAATGGGATCAGCAATAGCTCTCTCAGAGCACTACAATGAGCAGTTAAGCTTGCTACTTCTCACAATACTGCCATTTTAAACCTGTAAGAGGGCCTTCTACTATAAATAGGAAGAAGACAAATCCAGAAACAACAATGGCATCGACAGGTAATAGAAAAGAGTAACGTAAGTTGGTACAAGAGCACCACTATGAAGTTAGAACAGCATCAAATTAGAATGTAAATGTAGATCTGAACTGCTTAGCCAAAGCAGCACCTCATACGAGCAGAACCTCACACGAGCAGCACATCATAGCTGTAACATAACAGATGGCTATGCACTGCTTTTAGCATATATTACTGGTGCCCCTCCTCTTTTTTTTTTTTTTTAAATTTTAAAAAGCCCTCTCAGGCTTCAAACAAGTTCTTGTTGCAAACACAAGCTGAACATAGTGTAAAAATAGTATGCTGCAGTGATTCATCTGCATTACTCCACAGAGCTCAGCTCAATTACACAAGAGTCTGGTCATAACTGCAGTGAATGAATGCTTTGCTGCAGAGTAATCTGCCCTTCAAGTGGCCCTTCAGAGAGCTGAAATGAGCAGCAGTGATTAGCTGCTAAGTTCCTAAGTGGAGTAAGGCTGCTTTCAAATTGATTTGTGAAGACTTGCTAACTTGGCAGCAGTGCAACCCATTGAAGCTACAATTAGCAGCAGGTGCAGGAGGAAGTGATATGGCTTAAGTGTATCTGTTCGCAGGGACAAAGTTTGGTGCTGGCAAGGCCAAGATGCACACACACAGAGAACAACTTGTCTCAGTGTATAAATACTGACTGGCTCTCTCATCACTAAACTGGGTATTCTGAATAAAAGATCTTTGGGTACAAGGCAGGTATGCCTGTGACCTTTCTGATTTTCACATAATGATTGAAGAGTAAGAGTTTCTCAGTTTCACAGTACTATGCGAAAATGAGACTTCATGTTACTCTGAACACATTGCTTCCAAGTGCTCTCTGTTCACCTGAGCAATATTGCCATCAGCCTTTTAAAATTCTTTCAAAACACCAATCCTTAACAACACAGTGGTGGAACACTGGCTACACATTGCAGAACAGGCGAGTTCTACAGCATGTTAGCTCTTAACCACATAGTGTCACAACTGTGTGAAGATCACCTCTTTGGAGCACTCACACAGCTGAGTGCCACCACTATTTCAATTTGAGAGCCCTGCACACCCCTATGGAAACACAGATGCAAGGGCTGTATAACAACACAACATCTCCGCTGGTATGACTGCAATGAAAAGAAAGATGATGACTCCTTATGAAAACCAGACTAAAAAGGTATTTAACCAGGCAAATTGAGATCTCTCAGAGAGGATCAAAAGAAAAGAAGGATGCAGTAATGGGACAACCCCACTACTTCCACAATTATCTTGCAGGCAGCAAAAGGACTCCCTGCTGCAGAGATGTGGCACCAGATCTGGCCAGGCTTACTTGATCACAGTCAATTTTGTGTTAAGCTGGAACAGATGAGTTACTGTAATGCTTTCTTGGAACAGTCCTACAAAGGCCCCACCAACAGCCCTACTTTCCAATACTATCTTTTCTCTTACCCCCCACATTACTAGTGCCATCCTCCTGCTAGCTCCAGTTCTCATTAAACCCTTCCAAGAAGCAGTAACTATCAAAATCAGCAGAAAATTATGCCATCAAAATAAAGCTAGATAGCCTTTTACCATCTAAGTAAAATTCAGTTTACTGAAGAGTCTGACGAATTCAAACAGAATTTGAATTCTTACTGTTTAGAAAAACATCTGGCAGGTTATTCCAGAGCTTTTCTGCACCCCTAACTATCCTGCCTAATTTATTCATGAATTAAAATTTATTAATTTGTTCTTTTGCTAAAACTGTCCTTGAAATAACTTTCCTGCCGCTCATCCCCTTTTAATGTTTTTAGAGATCAAAAAGGTCTAATCATTATTCTTCACTTTACTAGGCCAAAAAAAAATTAAAGCTCTTTCATAGTTACCTCTGGTATAACTGATTCTCCTTTTGTCTCATCGTTCTAATTACCATCTTTTGTACCTGTTGTTGCTTGAGTTAATCTTTCCTCATCAGGATGATCAAGTGTTATAATATTCTAGACGAGACCTGAACAATTTATTAGTGCTGCTACTTCCCTATTCCACCTGTGCTACGCCCAAGGACCCCAGATGCCCTGTAGCCATGCATCTGGACAACACAAATTGGATCTTTCACCCCGAGCTCTGTGTAACCTCTGTAAAAACTTGATAAGCTTTGAACTAACATCAGAAATCACAGTTCAAATACATCTTGCATATAGTTTACCTTAATTTTTAAAAGCCATATTTGAAAGTTAAACTATATTACTCCATTACCTCATTCACACTGTTCTTCCTTAGCACACAATGGAACAGGTGGAGGTTTCCTAAGATCCTGTTCGCAGATCTGCATCTTTTCAAAGGCCTTTCCCCCCTCCTTCCATTTCTAGAGTACAAGTGTTTGTAACATCTCTTTTAATGAAGAATTGATTTGCCCTGAGTTTCCTCCCTCATTCCTGAAAGGATCTTTAAACAGTGAGCTATTAAAAACTTGGGGTTTTTGCCTATTGTTAAATTCATTCCTTTCTGACTCCCATACAGAACAACTAAGTTATAATCAAATATACAAGACAAATAACACTTATAAAACTGAGAAAGGTAAATTTGCTTCACAGTTTTGAGATAGAAAATAAGCTAGAACAAAAAAAATAACAAAGTTTTACAAAGTTCTAATGAAGTGTGCATTTTCCCTAAATGACGTAAATAATACTACACATTGATGAAAAGACGCAATTGCTTGCATGAATTTGCCATTTGAGAAACACTGCTCACATTTTCACTTTAACAACTTAAACTTTCTGAAGCACTCTACCTTTGGATTAGATGATATCCTGGGGGTCTTTCCAACCTGAATTACCATATGAGCTTGTTTTTATTTTCCCTCATTTACTTATTGTTAAATTTTATTCTTCCTGTGTTTCTGCCATCCCACTTCCTGATCAACTATTCAGGAGCAAATCCTATGAAGTCACAAGATTGCCAGCCTGGGAAAAGTTACAACGAATTCTATATGGCCCAGTAATTACAACAAAAGCCAGCTTTGCCAGACTAATGACATCTTAGTTCAAGAAATGGAAAAGTTTCTGAGCACTTCACTCTGAACAAATCTTTTCCTCTAACTTGCATGTTAGCCATCTTTCCCCTGACACAAATTGCGTACCTCCCCCCTCCCACCAAAAGACAAATGCTCTGTGTAAACGAACAAGAAAGCTTTCTCACACTACCAAACTAATTCCAGTCCACCCCTGCAACACTATGAATATTTGTGAAGACACTGGGATGGCTTTTACAAGCAGGTACACTTACACATGTCAGGAGTCATATATTTGCATTTCAGTGTAACCTTCCCCACTGGATGGTGTTACAACAGACTTCCCACCTTACAAACCAGAACAACAGAAAGTGACCAAATAGGATGCTTGTAGACAAACCTTGGATTTGAACTTCATGATCTTATACTTTGGTGAAATGCAGTCATTAAATTCCTTGAAAACACTCATTAGAGTTACCGGAGTCTCTGTCTCTTTGCCAGTGGATAGGTCTATTTCCTTAAAAAAAAGAAGTCAGGTTTTACAAATTAACAAAAAATGCCAGCAGACATCAACCAATAAGTTGAATTTTCCTTCACTATTATGAATCAGGTATCTCTTCTTTATTAGAAAACTACAACGCAATCAGCCAAGAAAACCCAAATTTAAAAAAAAATATTATTTGAAATAGAGTCTTTAAAAAGCACTAAGTTTTCTAACAACACTTCGAGACAACTTTATTTCCTAAGCAGAAAGTCTAAAGGTAACGACTTGTCTGCAGTTGTTTGTTAGGGTTGGGGGGAAGCAGCAATGCTTTACTCTGCATCTCCCATGTGATATACCATGTATACACTGTACTTCACGTTACCACCTACATCAGACAGCACTGGCTTCAACAGTTCCCATAAACACACTACTAGAACTCATAACCTGCCATAAGGAGAATGAAAGGTACTTATGTTTGACATGCTTAAAAGATATACTTACTGTTTCACGTGGCAGCAGATAAATAGTTCTCTCAATATTTTTCACTGTCACACAACAGCTGACATAGGTGTGTGCAGATTCAATCCAAACTTTACCAAACAAAAATACCACGCCTAAGGAAGAAGGGCAAAGAATTCAATATGCAATTCTTAAATTAGTCATTCTTAACATTGCTTAAAGCAACAATATTATGTATTATAACACATAATAATTATATGTTATAATACATATTATTATGTATTATAATAATGCATTATTATGCATTCTTGCATAGAAACACAACCACTTCTGGTTTAGGTCCTTGAACAACAAATCTTTCCGAGGTGTCAGTACATTCTAAATTGTTTTAAACATCAGCTTTACAAATAGATACCTGCATAGTTCTTCATTCCCCTATCTCCATCACTATAGTAACACCATGATATATGAAATTCAAAATGGCATCACACAGCCAGTCTCAGAATTCTGTTCTGATATCCCATTTCCTCCTACATCAGTTTCATAATTCATGGGGAGAGGGAGGAGGGAGAGCAAAGTCAGTGAAAGCTGAAGATAATCAGAATGCCTGTGCTGTCAATCACTCTTGAAACGTGTTATCTACAGTTTTTCATTCCTCAGCTAGGCCTGTACAATTAACTCATTTTTCCTACACTTCAGTACCACGAGATCAAGACTCTCCTACTAATAAAACCTGTAGAAATACATTCTGAAGACAACAACTAGAAGCTGATAAACTGTAGGAAGTTTTCAACTGACTATTTTTAACAAATGAGGACACCAAAAGACGTAAGACATTGCAAGAGATCCTGGATGTTAAGACAGCAGTTGTAACCAAGGTAGATACACAGAAAGGCTATATAGAGCAGGACTAGCGCAACTGACTTCACTATGGACCACATGGATTACATGAAAGACACTATCCCTACGGTACACTACTATTAATGAAATCAGAAACATCCAAAACAGAAACAGTGTTTCCCATAAAGAAGACTTTGGAACCTCCGTTTCTCCTTGGTCTGACAATGCACAAAAAAGTCCTTGGTTAAGAGTTATCTCTGCCACACAGTCTATCAGATGTGAAGGCACCTTTCTTATTCCACTGGATCAAAGACAAATCAGTGAAGATGCACTAAGACGGATGACAGAGTTAAGAGTGACAGGCTAAGAAAAATCATTTCTTGAGTGCTTGGAATAGACATGAACAAGACTACTTTTGTCAAGGACAGAGAATGCTGCGGTTTTGAAGATGATGAGAGCAAGAATACAAATTTCAGTTGCACAAAGTATCTCAGAGATTTTAATACTGAGGCAATCTTCAAGATTTAGACAGTTTGAACAAAAGGATCTAGAAAGAGCTCAAATTACAGATCTAAGTGACAGGGAAGGTGAAGTTGTTCTGCCCAACAATTTTTTTTTTCTTTTTTTAAAGGGATAAAAAACTCAAATAGGTTTGTATCATACAGAAAGATGAAACTATAGGAGAGACCACAAAACAGGAGTTGCTCACTTGAACAGCTGGCAACATGAGGAGCGTGGAGAAGCTAACCTGTCAGAGGCATACATAAAAGCAGGAAGGTAGAAAGGATACATGAGCCAGTCAAAGACAGGGCGGAAAGCTGCCTGGATCGCAAATACAAACTTCAGTCAACTCTAGCGTGGACAGATAAGTGGTCTTAATCCTGAGATTTCACAGAATCTGAGTTATTTAGGATGGAAGGAACCTTTGGAGGTTACCAAGTCCAACACCCACACGCCCGACGCACGCGCGCACACACACACACGCACACACACACACACACACAATGAAAGCAGGCCTAACTTCAAAGAGTTTTCAGAGACATTTCATATGTAAAACCAAGAAATGAGAGAAGAGATATCAGGACCTATCCCCTGTAAGCCTGATTATGGAGAGAAGAAAGAAAGAAAAAGTAGGAGTAAAGCTTATAAAACAGAAAGTCCATGAAAAGAAATATCATATTACCAATGCACCAAAAGGCAAGCAAAGTCAAGAGACGGGGAAAATGTCTTGCAGAGGGGAAAGAAAAGGCAATTTTTATTCATTATTTCTTTAAAATGCTAATAGGATTACAATTCTCAAGTTCTCTGCCTAAGATAGCAAGGGGAGTTATGAAAAGTAAGCCTCCAAAAATCACTAAGTTTGAAAGAGTCTAATGATTATGCTATATAGTATTTACTCTTCAGGCAATGCATTTGACATCACAGCAAATGAGGCATAAACAAAGATCATGAACATGTTAAACAAAAAGCAGTATCAAAATTTTCCCTTCTACACTACTAATTGAAAACAGGTGCAGTCTTTATTATTCAATCCTGAAAAAGTCATAATGAGAAAAAAAACACTCCTTCGTTGCGAGGAACAGAAATCCTTTCATAATTATGTTCCATTCAGCAACCACTGACTTAGAAGACAAAAAAAAAAAAAAAAAGAAAAAGAACAATAGTGGGGTCTTTAAAAGTAGCAATTTTATATTAGAGCCATTGATTTCATCAAGATATCTATGATTATTACCACTCCCCTCACCAAGCTGTTCAGCCCAGCACAGTCTCATATTTAAGTTTGGCATTGCAACTCACAACAAAAGGTGTAACAGAGAAACATATCTGACTCAACGCTCATAGCATCAACCCAAAAAACCTTCAACAACGTATGGAGGAACCTTCTGGTAAACCTACATGAAGCACAAATTAGAAACCCAAGATCCTAAAGCTGCTGATGAAATGAGAGGACGGATGAGAAGTGCTTAGAACAGCTGTGAACATGACATTTTTTGTCAGGGCTGAGATCAGAATGCCACAGTTTTGAAGACAATGAGAGCCAGGATTCATGCTTTGACTGCACAAAGTATCTTAGGGATGTTAATACAGAAACAATCTTCAAGATTTAAGACAGTTTGAATAAAGGGATCTATACAGAGCTTATATTTTTCAGGCCACCCTCCTCCCTTGTCAGGCATACATTTCCTTTGTATAAAACCGTGCAACTGCCATTGTACAGACTTTCTAATAATCCATCAGAATGTTAAATTACATTTCCAGAAACACGGAAAGTGTGCTCAATTGTTGCACCAGTGAGTAAGAAATTAACAATATCAGCTTACTTCTGGGGTGGAGAGGATTTTAAGAAAGCCAATGGATCACCAACATTGAGAAGTGCTAGTAGCTCCCTTTGTACCTCCCTACTACTATACTAGGAGACAACATTCTTACTTTTCCCAGTCATAGTGCCCTGCACTTGAGGACACACGTGTGGAAAAACAAGAGATCAATGTACAAGTTACATAGCACAGAGAGACAGAGTACCTAGACATAATTTAGGCAAGTCTGAAAATCCCAGTTATATAAAAAGAATCAGAATGGCATTTTCTGCCTTCAACTGAATAGTTACCTGGCTGACTGTACTGATCTTCATAAGCATCCAGCCAAAAAAATCTTAAGACTTGATCATCATTTTCCCCATTCACAAGTGGAAGGAGACTGGGGTCCAGCTGAACTTCTGTCACTGCTAGATCAGATTCATCCTCATCAATTCTGTCCCAACATGAGATATCTGGGAGAGAACAACTTCTGCAGGTTTTGCAGAAGAAAGGAACAAGAAGTAAATCTGTGCCTTTGCTGTAACCACCACAGTTTCACTTTTTTTCAGGCCTATGTTCTCAGGCCTTTTGTTGCTCTTTCCACTACTGAGCAACATTCCCAACAGCTGGGTTTCCCCAGACTTCTTATGAAAAGGATGTAGTGACAAAGAGAGAAACCCACATAAAAGTATGGTTCTCAGCACACAACACACAGGCTTTAAAAGTCATTCGTCTGGTATTTCAGCCTTGGTCATTCAAGCCTTTATGTAACAAATATATCCATCCATCTGTAGAAGTCGCTCAGTGGGAACAACAGATTATTTCAACAAAGTTACCTTTTCAGTCATTAAATGTTTCAGTCTTTTTGATCATTCAAATATTTCACAGTTTAAGGATATGGAAACATGATTCAATTCAGGATTCTTCCAAGCAATTTAAAAAAAAAAAAAAAGGAACACCCACCTTTTTTTCCTATTTCCAAAGACACAGCTGTTCACCATGTGAAACTGCTTTTAGTGACAATACCTTTAACTACAACTAACATTCCAAAATACCTTCAGATATGCTTGCAATAAGAATCGTTAGCAGCTCCTCATTTTCACTTATTGGCATTGAAGCTGTGGGTGCCCCATCCCCAGAGGTGTTCAAGGCCAGGCTGGATGAGGCTTTGAGCAACCTGGTCTAGTGGAGGGTGTCCCTGCCCATGGCAGGGGGGTTGGAACTAGATGACCTTTAACGTCCCCTCCAAACCAAACCGTTCTGTGATTCTACTGTCAAAATTCATTGTTTGACAATGAGTCACCTCAGTGTACTGAAATATGTGTTATGTTGTCATGTGCTAAATCACCAAAACATCAAGTATTTTCAACCAAGTAGCTATCAGCACCTTCAACAATACCATTTTTAATGTCACTACAAAAAAACCCAAAACAACCCATTGTATGGCATTCTCATCATTCTGTCTGTATCACAATTATCCCATTGGCAAAAACAAATTCAAGGATAAGTCTAAAGCTTACTGGTGGCAGAAAAAAAAAAAAAAAAGATTCTCACAAGACAGATGTCTCTTTCTTCTCTGATTCCAGCTGCTCTGTCTCTTTTTTTTCAATTTCCTTGTCTCTCTTCAAGCTTTCAGCTGTCTCAGGTACAGTTTCCACATGCTCTGTTTCCATAGGTTCATCAAAGTCCTCCTCATCAAAATCCATTGTTGCCTGTACATTATCTGGAAGTGTTGCACACAGAACTAAAGCCTTGAGTCATTAAAATAACACACTGCATACTACTAGCGGTATGCACAGATAGCATACTATATGCATTAACATAATATACAGTATTAATATACAAACAAAATATCACATTTAAGCTATCTAAGCATCTAACCAGTACAAACTGTTTTCATACTAATAAGCCGTATTTCAAGAGTTTCCAGAACTGGGTTTTGATTTCTTTTGATACCTTCAATAGCTTCCTCTTCTATTGTCTTCACTGTTCCCCCATTTTCTGTAGCTTTTTGCACATACTCAGTATCCTTATTTTCAGAGACCATGACAGATTTTGCTGTGTAATTGGGATGTTTAGGACGAAATGGAGTTGGAGGAAGAGCTTCTTTTCTGAGATGAGAGGGAGCTTTCTTTGATACAGGGGTGATTACCTGAAAGACATTTTAGCCATGAGTTAAAAAAATTATCTTAAGAGCAAAAAAGGGCTAGAGGAAAAGCTCCACATACTTTGCAGTATGATAGCTAAAACTCCTCAAAAGTAAACTTTCAGTTCTATAGTATCACTTCTGCTGTGATGTGTTTCTACTATGATTTTAAAAAGCAGTTCACACCAGGCTATGGTTGACATTTAAACCTGTGGTTACTTTCACTATTTTTCCCACATACTCCATTCCTAAATTAAAACTTCTGTGCCAACTGAGTACGTCACAATATATGTCAGGCAGGGACAGAGCCTTGTACAAGTGGGGAAGGCCAACACAGCAGTTTACACCTGTTTGTTATCAGTACTGAGTTCAAGATGTCTGCAGGACTCCATGAGTCTAGAGAGCAGAGTGTTTCTCTGCTCACTGGATTTCTTCATGCCACAGACATGACAGGACACTTCAGAATGCTCTGCAAGCCTAAACTCTGAGGCAATAAGCACAGTTTGTTTTTCAGACAGCATACCACTATGGCAGCAGCTACAGAACCTCTTCTTATGGAAGATGTATGGAGTGGATTCCACCATGACCAAAAACAGGTCTCTGGATCTACTGCCCTTAAACCTGCAGCAAGGTCCAAAACCTTTATCTTCAGTGAAAGCTGTCATTTACAGACATAGAATTTAGAGTTGCACGCAATCATTTCTTGAGTTTTAATCTCAGTTTGGCTACTTCTGCTGTGGCCAACACCAAACTCAGTCCGTCACCCATCTTAAACAGAGAGCAAACATTACTTAATCTGCCTTCACCAACAATTTTTTTCTAGCTCAGACAAAGAAACTTATTCATACTTCTATTTCTGCTCGTCTCCTGAAGTAGAAAGTGTCACTGCCGTCTTGCTTTTTATGCCCATCTCTTTCCTAAGGCTGCACTCTTCATCCGCTTCATTGTCTAAAATCTCCAGTTCCTCCCCCCAGGACCACAGAAGCTATCACCTGAACAGCCTGTCTGAGAATTAATTTCCTTCTCAATGTTTCCTACAAAAGTGACCACTGTTCTGCACCATAGAGACAAAGATCCTCTCTTACTATATCTCTCCCATTTTTCTTTTTCAGGCACTTCTAGGCTTCAACACAAGTGTTGAAATGGGTGCCACTGGTGATTATTTTCAACATAAGAGTTGATGTCACTATTACACAAGGTTTCACAAATCCAATTTATCTACTCTACTCCATTTGCCCTCTACAAACTCTTACTAAGTATCTCATTGTATTTCCAGCTGTAAAGTCCTTCTCATTTACCAGAGCTCTTAACAAAATGCTAGCCTTCCATCCTGAGCAGCCCGTCCCTCCTTTCACTCAAAAATCTTCCACTAAGGTAAACTTTCATCCATATCTTCAATTTTCCATTTGCTTTCCACTTCTGGAGAATGTGAGTTTCTTATCATTTTCCACACCCACAAATTCTCTTCTGCTTATTTCACTTCCCATCATCCTTTCCCTGCCACAAGGGTCTTTTGTACTCTTAGGAAAAAAGAGACAAAGCAGAAGCTCATCTTCATGTGATGCACCTAACATTATAAAAACAGTTTCACCTGTCAAATGTAACAGCTATATACTACTACTATACTAAAGACACAGAAAGAACTATATTCTGTTTACATATTAACATGGAAGAGGAACAGGAAAAATGCATGAAGTTACACAGTAATGCTGCTAAGGAAGCTAACACGAAAGGTAATTTCTAGAAGCAGAAATAAAACACAACAGTATTAAAATCAACCAAAATACAGATTAATACTTATTCATGAGAAGTTCTTTGATTTTTTCCTTTACCTTAGGAGTTTGGGACTGCACAGAGAAAGGATTCAGTGGCACTCCAGTGGATCTTTTCCTCTTCAGCATTATAATTGGTGGTGGACTTATCTGAACAGTCTGAATATTGAAAGTAAAGAGAAGGTGACAAGCTGGAGATGACACGTAAACTGCATACATACATGGAATATACCAAACAGAGGTGCTATGGAAGAAATGAATCTTAGATGGTCTAGTTTTAGGAAGAACATTATTTTCTTGATATGTTTCACAGCAAGAAAAAACAACAGACTAAGGTGTTTCAAGCAGATTTTACTAATATACTTACTTCAGCATTAAGATCTTGAAGAATATCTCCTAGTAAATCATCCTTTGACAGATCCACAGTTTTCTGTAAGATAACAGATTAGCCAAACAATTCTTAGGTATGTACGTAAAACCAATCGGAAGACCAGCAGCAAATGACTGAAGGGTTTGTACAAAACATACACAACCTTTTCAGAAATGCTCCATGCACAAGAGACTGTAACAGGGGTTTATGTCTTGCTAGACACAAGAAACTGAAATGAGCCCTTGCTTTACTCCACTCCCACCAAAACACTGCAAACAAGTTAGAAATTTTAAAATTCAAAAATGTAAAAACTTACATCTGTGTTCTTCTTCCCAGCGCTGGCTATAAACATGGACTTAATTGTGTTTGGTTTTGACACCACAGATTTTTTTGCATTCTTTTTATCACCCGTTTTGCCACCTTTTCCTATACACACACACACACAAAAAAAAAGTGAATTCTGCATCAGAAAAGCTCAATGTTTAGGGGTCAGTTATTAGCAGAAATAGATAGCTGAGATAGTCTACTTCTTCCACCTTTACACTACTGTCTGAAATGAAGCCTAATCATCTTTCACTTGCTGACAGCTTTGTAATGGCTGTCATGCACACACACAAAAAAAAAAAACCACGATCAGCACCCTATCTTTCCCAGTCACCTCAGAGATGCTCTTTGCGTACCCAAGTTCATAATCCAGAAAAAGGGGACAAGATACTTCACATGGAAGCATCTCCAGGGGGGAAAAAAAAAAAAAAAAAAAAAAAAAAAGTCCAGGAGTTTTAGGCTTGGATTCTCAACATCAGAATCAATTTCTCAGTTTGCCACCAACTTCATGTAAGCTGACAAAATCATTTGATCCCAGATCCTTAAAAGCATGCAAGGATTTTAGTGGCAAGAGAGACCACACATCCTTTAGATAATCGTTTTGGAAAACAAGATCATCACTCCCCAGTGCATTTGTTCTAGAAGCAAATATATATCCCCCAGAAGAGTGTAAGCAAAATTGCCCCAGTAGTGCTGGAGTAGCTCGCAGTGACACAGCCTCAATCTGCGGACCTCTGTCTTCTGCATCATGAGGGCTAACCAAAATCCACAGTCACAGGCAGAGAACTACAGAGCTTCAAGTAACATGTCATTTGGCCATACTTACCACATACTGATACCACTGGAAGGCTTTCTACAGTGGTCATGTTCAACCTACCTTTCTTACTGGAACCAAGAGCATCATCATCCAGATCTTCATCAAAGATTTCCCTTCCATCTTCTACATAACCCATCCCATCTGTAGAAAAACAAATTGTTAAAAATTTACCTTTTAAATTCTGTCTTCTGATATTTCTAAATATAGTCATAATCCAAAATTTTACATAGGTAAATACTTTTTTCCCTTTAATACAGAGCAAAAGTTATAAATGCAGAAGTGTAAAAATTACACCACTTTTAGTATCTTTCATTAGACTAAATATATTATGTATTTCATTAGAAATTATCAATTACAGTACTTCTTTTTAAATATATATCACTGATAACTAGAAATAAAATCTCAAAAACAGTTCTTAATTGAAAAATATTTTCATTACCATCCTAATACGCTACTATGAGAACAATCCAAAGATTCATTTCCATACAAACTTATCTTTTTCTTGTCTCTTAAAACAATTTGTAAGAATGTACTAACTATAACTTACCTCAAATCATGCACATTATGAAGCCAGATTGAGTTACAACACTATAATCAAAATTACTCTCCAAATGAATCTTAACTTACCATCATCGACAATCCAGTCATCATCCTGACGTTCTCTGACCATTTTGGAGTATTCTTCCTCATCTATTTCATCATAAACACTTGTGAACTCCTCAACCTATAGTTAAGGTATACTGAGGATTAGCAGTTACCATACCATTATTTTTTAATACAGGTCACCAGTAAGAACATTAAAGTTCCTAAGAAATACATGTTTTCCCACACTGTTGCACTGTTCACAACTAGTAAGCACTGTTATTCATTCAGTTTAAGTTTTGTTTTTGGCAGGGACAAAAGACAAGTTATCAATTTTTAAAATTATCACAGTGCACTGAAACTCAAAATCTACTGAAGCACTGGCAGAGATTTAATTTGAAACTGACTTGCTTTACTGCTCATTTCACCTTACAAAAAAAAAAAAAAAAACCAAAAGCAAAAAATTCTGAGCAATGGAGACTTTCTGACCTTTGGCTCTACTCTCAAACACCAAGGTGAGCTCAATGAAAAGGAAGGGGATTTGATGTGCCCAAGCACAATGCTGAAGCTGCTCTTCTGTGTCTCAGGGTGAATTTGCATGTTAACAATCTACACACTTCAGGCTTCTTTAGATTTATCCACCTCAATGTGGAAGTCACCTACTGTTGGCATTAAAATTAATCGGGCAGTATCACTGACGATCACTGTTACAGTTCTACCAGTTAAATACTTAAACTTTAGTTTCTTTGTGGAAACGCAGTATACCAATTTTAATGTACTTCAGTCATGTAAAGCTTTGATATTCATTTAAAGTTTAAAATCATTTGAAGTTAAAAAAAAATAAAAATACTTCCTACCATAACATTGATTATGTGATCAAATTTTAAAGGTTGGTCCTTCCCTGTGGGATAGTTATCAAGCAATATCAAGCATGTTTGACTTGCAATTAATAAAATTGTTTTAGTTTTGAAAACAGAAAGAAACCAGTAAATGATACCAGAAAGCAGCAAAACCATTACAGTTACACTGCTAAAAATAAAAAGCTGATCTGAAAGGCAGATTTTGTTTCCCCACAACTTTTAGACATGTATAAAGGGCAGTTAAGCATCACAGCTGACATTCCCTTTTTATTAAAAAAGATGAGCAATATTCACCTCATATTTCACTTTTTCGCCAGCTTTGGCTTTTTTCAGACGCTCCAGTGCTTCTTGCTGGCCTCTTCTAGACTTCTTCTCACGTCTAGAACGTGATGCTGCAAAACTTCCAGACTCATGCATAGCTGCAATCAATTAAAAACAAGAGAAATAAGTTTAGTAATGAGCTGCTGTTATCTTTGGTACTTAGTATTCAGTGATGTATTAATAGATGGCTGCAGTTTTGCCTAAAATCAACAGAGAGACCTACTCAGACAAAAGCACACAGTCACAGATGTCTCTTGATAAGCCAACTCTGGAATTATACTGAAGGCATGGTCTCAGACAGACCCAGAGATCAGACTGTGCCAGTTCCCGTTCAGCAAAACGCTACCACCTAGACTTCCAAAGCACCTCACAAATCTCATCAATCCCTATCTGAAAAGGATCCCCCCCCTCCTACTCTTCCCTTGGGAATTTCCAGCTCCTTTTATTTTGCTTGTCTCCATGACAACACAGGAACAGACAGACTTAGAAAAGGCCTGTATTACTACAAAGCTGTAATTTTTTTTTAGGCAGTTTCACAATGTTTAAGAGTGCAGCTACATAGAGACAAACTAGTAATCTGTTGACAGCAGATGACTGCCGCCCCACCTCCTCATACACTTCCTTACCTTTGCAACACCCCCCCAGCAAAGCGCTCTCCAATTCTCCTAACCTTTTTCTCTCTCTTGATTTGGGGCAGGGGGGAACAACACGCATTTATCTGACCACAGAGAATAAATGGTCCCCATCCAACTTAGGAAAGCAGACAGCTAGCCCAGGAACAACACACAGTTTTGTGTGATGAGCTGCATCTCCTGGCTAGCACAAGCGGCCAGGCCAGGCAGCCAGAGAGAAGGCCAGTCCCTTCCTGGTGACAGCAGAAGGCCACACTGTTAACAGAGCTGCACCTAGGCTGTGCAGCTGAGACAAGTCAGCATTTGTGTTGCTAAGGGCTGGCATGGGCTAAAAAGGGGCATTTACACTGTCTGGCACCAGATGTGGAAGAAATACAAAGCCGTTAACACTTGGGGTGTACTTACACAAGATTTTCTGACAATTCTTTGCATGTACCGTAAGCAGGCACCTAAGGCAGG